AAAATAAATTTTGTTTATTGCTTATTTTGGAAAGATCATCAAAATTTTAAAATTGAAACAATTGGATGTGTACTTGTACACATTAATTATTTATCCTATATATTGGTTTTTTTTTTTGGTAGGACAGACGCGAATTGATTTTTTTTTTTTTGGAAAAACAAAAAACAATTTATTTTTTGACAGAGTCCAAGATGACAAAACGTGAACGTTGTTGTTTGGTTTGGTTTGGGTCTCCTAAAGAATACGTGTTAATAATAGAGGTACTTTTTTTTATTTTTATTTTATATAAACATTTTAATTGGAAATCAAAACGCGAGCAGATCTTGCCAAGTAATTATAAAAATCTCATCAAGATGGTAAACAAATGATTGGTATTTGACTTTTCGTAATCATTAATAATACTAATATTATATAATTACAAGAAGATGTCAAGGCAGCACACCGTTGAATATGAAACATTTTGATATGCGATGTTTGATTATCGGAATTTTACAGGTGTTGAAGCACGCACGCTACCTTGAACACTTTACAGTCATTTTCACATCTTCCTCGTGTACACAAGGCTAATCTGACCTGATTGATCGATGATACAATGATGCAACCAAATTCCAAGGGTATTGCGTGGCTTTGGAATTTACCAAAACTGCATCAATCGTCAATGACACTTTCACTAATCTTCCCAGATCAGAGATGGCCGCTGGCATGTTGCCTGCAACGATCCCACCTCTAGGGCAAGGATGGCTCTGTGACCAAGTCGCAACTCTGGAGGAATATTAAGAGAATCTGCGATTCGTTCCAAGCACAGGAGGTCACAATCCAGGGCAGGGTTGGTGACCCTGAAATTGCATTTGGACTCTGATGTTAGGAGGAAAGTTGTAAAATAATGTTTGTTTTGTATAATCATTTTCCTAAATTCTCTGTTTCTCTGATTCTAACCAATTTAATAATTTTGGGTAGGGGACTGGGATGGGTTTCTGCCCAATCAGCCCCCCTGACCTGTAGGTTAAAATTATCGCATGATTATATACATCCTTGTCAGCAATATGGCCAATAAGGAAAAAGTCATAAAATGGTTTGGGTTTTGGTATGTTATGTTATAAATTAATTATTTTCATAAATTTTCTGTTTCCCTAAACTTTATTTGACCAACTGAATTTGTTGTTTAAATGGGGTAGGGTTGTTGGCATGTTGATGTGCCTAAATTTAGGGAAAATCTAAAACAGCAACCCAGG